CATCCTCCCACCTTCCACTTCCATCTTTTTCTCTCTCCCACCTATTTCTTTCTTTCCTTCACTTTTTCATTCCCCTTCCCCCCTACTTCGAGTTTTTTTTGTTTTTCTTCTTTCCATCTCTCTTTTTATTTATCTTTTCTCCTTTTTCCAAAAATTCGAATTATCTTCTTTCCAACCTTCTTTTCTCATTTTTTGATTTATTTGATTTATTTTTTTATTTATTCTGAAAATTCGATTTTCTTTACGGCAACCCTTAATCTGATTAGGTGTTAGTCTTTCTTGCTTTCGGCACACGTTTTGACCCCGTGGGGGTAACGAAGTGCTAACCAAATTTTATAATTTTCTCTTACTTTTTCTTTTTCGGCACACTTCGACCCCATGGGGGTAACGAAATGCTGCCAAAATTTTTGAAAAGTCAGATACTCTATTTCTCCCCACCTCCTCATCCACTTATTTACTTATTTATTTATTTATATATTTATTTATTATTTCTTTATTGATTTTTTGAATTTTTTTTATTTGCGGCAGTTTGAAACCTAGTGTGCTTATTTCGGTCTCTCCTTTCCCCTTGGCACATTCTTGACCCATGGGTGGTAGGGAAATGCTGCCGAAAATTTCAAAAAAATAAATATTACTTTTCTTTTCACATTTTGTTTACTTCTTCTCATAATAATTTTTATTATTTATTTTCTTTTGTTTTTCTCTTGAAATCTCGCTGCTTATTTATTTTTCTCCCGCCTTCCCCCCTATGCTTGCCATTTTATTTTCTTGATTAGATCACCGGTACTCTACCCTAACCACTCAAACTTCGGTTAGGGTTTATCTAGGGATTAGGGTTCTTCAAAACCCCCCTACTTCCCCTTCCCTTTCGGACACCCTGGACCCGAACCACCCCTCCCCCTTTGACGGCGCCCGCGCTAGCCTTGCTAGTGTCGTCCGCTGCTTTCTACCGCGGACCCCCCCCTACGCCCTCCGCTCACGCGGACCTCTCCTGGCCCCCTCCAGTCCGGCCCGTCACCTCCCCATGACCGACAGTGTGTCACACGCCGCCGACGAGGCGACGGCCACGACACAGGGTTCCACAACCGGTCCGATGGACTAGGGCCACCAGCCCCATGGGGATCTGCACACCCTCCTCACCTCCCTCCTTGCGCCCATCTAGGCGCAACTCGCGACCCTCGCGCCCTTACAGGCGCAGGTGACAACTCTAGCCACCGGCATGCGGCAACTCCAGGACGCAGGTCGTCCTTCCCCTCCTCACCCTCTCTCTTCTCGTGGCTCCCAATCCGGGTCCCCCGCTCTCCGACAAGGTGGCCACGGCGAAGCTTCCTCCTCTGCCGTCCCCGACCTGGCCATCTTGGTGACCGTCCATGCCCCTAGCTCGACGACCGCTACAAGTCAGGCCCTCCCTCACTCTACGGGTGCACCCGCCCAGATTCCGGCCACTACGGTCACGGGACCATAACCCGTTACCATGGTTTCAGCTTTTTCGGTTGCCCCGCTCCTCCCTTCCCTTTGCACGACCGCAGCGCCACCTGGCGCTCCCCCCTCTGGGATGCCCCGCGCCGCTTGTGCGTCCACTTCCTCCACTCGTCCTCCTGCAACTCCTCGCTCGATCTACGTCCAACGTCTCGAGGACGAGCTTGCCCAGATCCGGGCCGACCTCGCCCTCTTACGCCTTCAGCCACCCCCACCCTCACAGGTGGCCGCGCCTTCGGGCGCACCCCCTACCTCCTCTACCCTTCCTCCCATGCAGGCTCACTTCCCGCGCCCTGCACCCTATCTAGCCTCATCCTACCTTCTCCCTACTCCCGCGGTTGCTGCAACCTCTTCTACCGCAGCTCCCTCGCAGCCTGCCGCAGTTGCCCCCGCCGCTCCCCCATGTGGCCCGGGCGCACAGTCAGCTGCGCCCCTTTCTCCCTTTCTCTAGGACCTGGACCGACTTACTCTGTCGTGGCACAGGCTTCTGCAACTTGATCCCCTCGCTGCCAAAACGGTGGCGCACCACTCATCCGCTTGTCGGAAATGGCCGTGTATGACAGTACAGGCATACGCGTGTCTCAGTGGCTGCAGTCTGCCACCCGCACGCTCCAGCTCATGGGAGCTTCATCGACACGTGGGTGGGTCACCTCTCCACGCGCCTGCGTGGCGGTCCTTTCGACGCCTAGGAGGATTTTTACACTTACTCCCTTCGTGAGGGTCGGACTCCGACCTTCATGGATTTCCAGGCGTTCTTCGAGGATCGCTTCGGAGCCCGATACGACGTGACTAACGCCTCCGAGCGTGTCGTCACTACACGCTGGTCCGGCTCTGGTGGCACTGCCGCTCTAGATCGCCACATCCAAGTCTTTCAGGCCGCCCGCCTCACTTGTGACGTGGCGTTCCTCCCCGAGGCTGCCCTTATCGATCGTTTCTTGGCCAGCCTTCCGCTCGAGGACCGCTCAGAGCTATGGCGGTACGAGTTCACATCGGTCCCGCAGGCTTCCGAGGCCGCCAGGGACCATCAGCGGATGCGAGCCTGTCTTCACCCCGCCTCCTCTTCCCAGCCTCAGCGCACGGGCTACGCCTCCTCCTCCTCTCACGGCACTTCCCAGCGCAGTTCCCCTTTTCCGCCACTTCTCAATAGAAAAAATGTGGGCATTTTTTGGCGGGGTTTATCAAATGTGTGCACCCCTTTTAAACTGTTGGTTTCGTGTTAATAAACTGTTTGGCGGGGGTGGTGTCATGTGTTCCACCAAAAGTGAAGGAACTCAACGTTGATAACATATGTCATAAACATGCGACACTGTGTTCAACACTTGTTCAATTGTTGAAAAACTGTTGAAAAGTTGTTTACAAGTTGTTGAAATGTTGTTGGAAATGTGATGATCAACTGTTGAACATTGCAGATATTGTTGGGAATATTTGAGAGAGAGAGAGAGAGAGAGAGAGAGAGAGAGAGAGAGAGAGAGAGAGAGAGAGAGAGAGAGAGACGTGTTACTATTGATAACCTTCATCTTAGTCTGTGTACCTCCCTGTCAATCTTGAATGCAGCGCCATGGGCAAATGTCCGATGGATGTGAACGAAATTGACATGAGGGTTGGCTACCGGGTGCCAATTTCCAGCATCACTTCCATGCATGACAAGAACATGGCACGCAGTAGTCAACCAGTCATGTAGTTCTCACCCAATATTAAGGTGAACATGTTTTGTAGTGCTTTGTGACATCATATTCAATATTTTTGGAAGTGGGTATTGCGTTTTCTGCTTATTTTTGTCAAACACAATTCATGTTCTTGCAAAATCATACGTTGACATTTTCTGGCCCACATTACACATGACGCAATGTGTACACTGAATTGATAGTGCGTAATGTGATATGCGAAGCGCAAATGCTATGTGATGGTCGAAACACATCCATGACAAGTCTTGTACAAGACCATTTGTTGAATAACACATGTTTGCTTATTGTACACTCAGCCCAAAGGGTTCTCCAGAGTCTTTTTTTTTTCAAATAATAACTATCTCTCTCTCTCTCTCTCTCTCTCTCTCTCTCTCTCTCTCTCTCTCTCTCTCTCTACGCTTTGGTCCTCATTGGTTGTGTGTCATGCCACTGAGCGTCAGTGGAGGTGCAGCTCATGTCCCCTCCAACACCATCGCCCACCTCCCTCCCCACCCTGGCCTTGTTCCATCCCCAACCCCCCTCGATCCACTTCCGAACCCCTTCTTCTCCTTTTCACGGCCTTGCGCACAAACTTTCTTTGTCTCTCTCTCTGCCCGCACATTTGTCCACGGTGTGCGCAATGAACTCAAGGCCAAAATCATCATTTGTTGTTGTCATGTTATTGACATCTCCTCTCTGCACAGCAGGCAACCCAGCTCTGTACAATGCGACGGTCTTGTCTGCAACAGAAACAGCACGGTCAAGCTTGAAGATAGAAAAGCTTAAGACCGTGTCTCGGGAGTGGACCGATGCAACGATCTCTTTCTTAATAGTTGCAAGTTTTTGTATTTGGTCTGATACTTTACTGGTCTTTGCCGTCGGCTCGACTTCACTTTTCAGTACCATCTCCGCAAATGCAAGTTGCTACAACGTTACGCCAAAGTTGATCGCATCTCTTCTCATTTGAAAAACTTTTGTCAGTGCTGTCTTGAAAGGAGGAGCGCCCCACAGATCATTGTCGCTCCTTCTCCATGTTGTGTCCCCCTTCATCTCTGCCCGCATCCTGTTGCGAGTTGGAAGCTGGTGATCCGTTTGAGCTGACCGGACCAGCGGCAGACCTTTTTCGGCCCAAAACCAATGCTTCAATTGCCATGATATCTCCCCTTGGACCGTTGTCATAATCCGATTGCATTCACCGATCACAGCTCAGATTCCGTTCGCTGCCACGTGCAACCTTAGTCTTTCCTCGGCATGTTCTCCTATCAATTTGACAGTTGTTTGCAGTGCCGTGAAAAATTGTCCTCCGATGGGTACAGCGTCGCATCCTTTGCTACTGAAAAAGCAAAGGCCTTCGCCATTGAACGAAACTGTCTGTCTTTCATTTTCTTTGTAAAACCCCCGATTTGTTGCTCTGTTCGTTCGCCAGCATTACCTCCACATGTGCTGCTTCGCCTTTGAAAATTAGTGCAATCTGGGGAAAAAACAAAAAGCAGACCAACAGATTAATGGTTTAGTGATAAGAAGACCCTCTGCGATATGTGTTTTATGTATTGCAATCAGAAACTGACATAAGAC